ATGTCAGCCATGCCCCCTAAATGTCAGCCATGCCCCCACATGTCAGCTTGCCCCAGGTGCCGGCATTTCTCGCCACCTTCCTCATCTGGTCACATGAGCTTCATGGACCTGAACCAGTGGGGCGTCAGTGTTCTCTGCGAGGTTAGCCCACCCTTCAAAAACATCACGACATAATTTAAAAGGAAACTTGCATTCCCGAGTAAAGGGAAAGTGAGGGAGCAGAACTGTTGAAGAGATCAGAGTAAAAACAAAGCAGTGTTAGTCCATTCAGGGTGGACACGGCCATTCTGGGCAGTGAGGGCCTCTCCATTGTACTTCCCTACAGGCCACTGGTTATTTGAAAGGTGAGTCCTGGGTCTGAGCCAGCCCCTCTGGGGGACTTAGGGCAGGAAGAGAGCCAGGCCACCACAGCAGCTAAAAGCATTTCTCCACCTTGGGCTAGTCCTCAAGGTCCAGCGGGCGCCTTTCCGCCTCTGTCAGCTCCAGGGCAAAGCTGGTATCTCTTGAAACTGCTGCTGAGAACATTTGGCTACATGGAAAGACAACAACAGAAACTGCCAAGTGTGAGTGTATAATCCACACAGCGTGGACAATTAGTACTATTTAATTACCAACAATATTAGGACTACAAGTTGATTTATGGCCATGCAGAGAAGCTCATATTCTTGGAGGCAAGCGTATTTCTCAGAACTAGCTGACAGACAAGGCAGGCTTTAGGGGGAGGCTCCCCAGGGGCGTGGGATACAGCTGAGGACCCGGCAGCCATGGATCCCTCCATGACTCCTTAAAGCACTGCCTCATCACCCAGAGTTGTGCTGTACCCCCAAGGGGAGGAGTGGGGGGCTTCAGCTAGAGCAATGTGCTGGAGAGAGGGAGTAGCCAACTCTACACCTTATGACAGGCCGGATCAGGTATCGGAGGTCGCTACAGTGCCTCCAAAAGCTCCCACAGTGACAGAAAAGCCGGTCCTGCCCACCAGGTCAGCAGGACAGCCCAGCAGGAGGGGCAGTGCTTTGTCCCAGGCAGAGAGTGGAATTGTTTGCAATGACTCCCAACCTTGCGCCCCCCAAAAGGCATCCTATGGTTGCAGTTCTGGGGGGTCATTGCAATTTGAGACAAGAAATATAAGATGATTGCTTTAAATAAAGAACAGGCACCATTAACAAGCAGGCAATCAATTCAAGACATTTAAAAACAAGTTGTTTCACAGTAACTGTGACTGGCCACAAGCTGGCATTCGGCAGTTCCGGCTCTGCCACGAAGGCCAGGTGGAGGCGTGCTGGGACTGTGCCTCAGTTTCCCCACTGGGACAAGCTCTGTCACAGACGGTCGGGGACAGCCCCGCCGAGGCCTGCTGAGCGGGCAGCTGTGGGGCGGGGAGAGCGTAGCACTCAGGGTGTCACAGGCTTGGTGGTGCTGACGCTGAAGTTTCTGTAGCACTGAAATAGACACTCTCGTAGGTTCTGTGCCACGTGAATGTTTTGAAAATTTGTAGGAGCTACAAAGAGAAAGTTTGAGCATGGAGAAAAGACGGGCTGACACTCAGACAAGTCCGTGCACAGTGCGGCAGAGCCCCCTTGTCTGAGGGAGCCGGCTGGCGCCGCTGACCTTCCACTCTCCCTCGAGCTCAGCCCTCGCTGCTGCCCGCACCAGGACACCCCTGCAGCCACTGCACCTGGCTTCCCCCCTGCCAGTGGTGAAACCCGTCTCACGCAACTGAGGTCAACTGGCGGTGGCCAGCTCACAATGCCCTATGACATCCAGAATGCTCCCTGGTTAATTCCGAGGCTCCTGGGAGCAGGGCTTAAGTTGTAATCAGAGGGTGGTAGCCGGTGATGCTGTCGGGCTGTCTTGATCAGGGACTCGAGGAGGTAGCCCAAAGAGCCTGGGTTCCAAAGCAGCTGTGAGTCAAGCGAATCTTTTAGGGTCACTGACTTGGGGTCATTCCAGAGGGGGGCTGAGGACCAACACGCGCTCAAGCTCGCAGGTTTGAAGCCTTCTCAGGTCCTTGGAGATGCCCAGCGCCGGTGAGGGCCCCTCTACAGCGCCCCCAGGCTGGAGGACTGGCCAGAGCTCCCAGTTGGTGAGGACAAGGCCCAGGGAGCCTTGCTGACACCTGTCAGGCTAGCAGGTAGCTCCCCAAGAGCCCAGAGGGGGCTGGGGCTGACCGACTCCCCGACGCTGCCGCCCCCTCCCAGTCCCACACACGGGGAGGGGAGTCGGAGGGCGGGTGCGGGGCCGACAGGGGTGGGGGGAGGTGGGATTTACTGTGCGGATTGGGGCTCACAGCTGTCACTCCGACAGGGTGGGGCGTTTTTTAAAAAGACACAGTTGAAGGCGAAGCCCCAAACCCGCGCCTGGCATCGCGGCGCTCGCCTCTGCTCCGTTCCGGATGCAGCCCTGGCCAAGCAGGGCGCGGGCGCCGGCGGGCAGGCGGCAGCGG